TAAGCCACAGGTTTTGTTTTGGTTATGCCGATTAGATTTGGGATGGTTGTGAGGTTTAGAATTCTTGGTTCCACCTGATGACATATAGTTGACAGATTTCGATTTTGTGGTACCGGTAAGTGACGAATGATCCATTTGGTTAGTTTGACTCTCAATGGATTCCATAGCTTGTGAAATATCTATGATATTGTCGAGTTTAAGATCCTTCTCTCTGAGTACACGCCGTTTAAGTCTTGAAGAAGACTACTCGACTACTTGATCAGCAATGGCATCCTTAACATCAGGAAAATCACAAGTAGCTGATAGTGATCGAAGGCGAGTTACGAACTGACTGATTGATTCACCTGAATTCTGATCTGCTTGTTTGAAAATATATCTTTCGAATCTGATGTATTTCTTTGGTTCAAAATATTCTTTCAATTTATCAGATGCCGTTTTAAAATCTTCGCCAGAATCAGATAAACCATCGAAAACTTCTTGAACTGATCCACCTGCAAGGTGTAGAAGTAATGCACGTTTTTGTTTATCATCCTTAACACCCAAAGCCAGGATGTATATATCAAATCGGTCACGCCATTTCTTCATTGCCAATGAGCTATGGTCGGAGTCTGCTTGAAATTTTGCAATCGCCGGCAAATTTAACATTTGAGCAATGGTAGATGATATTTATGTGACCACTACTTTACCTCGTCGCCAAATATAATGTTTATGGGTGAATCTAGATGATGTATTTTAGTTAAAGGCGCAGCCATATTCAATTAAGGGACATAACTCTCAATACATAAAATGATCAGAGGAGTCCAAACCACTGGACACAACAATTATGCTCACACTGCATTTTAGGGTCCTGATTTTTTAAAGAAACGTGTGTTCTGTTTTTGAGTCGGTGGTATCAGACTACTCTTTCCGTTTCTTTCTGTTGAGTATTGAGGGATCTTTAACGACTAGATACTTTTTCCAAATAAGTTTCGGACCTGCATCACTGACTTGGAGAAACTGGATTTATAAATACAATGGTATTATCTCGAGCTATGCCGGGATTTAAAAATAGGATTAACGAGCACGCGTCGCTCCCAGCCTCATAGATGATCTTGGTGGGGATCGGACTAGAAAATCATTTTATTTCAATGTAGTCCAATGATTACAAATTGGATTTACTATCTTTTAAAGCTGGTATAACAGTATTCCATAATTTAGTCGCCTCATATCTAAAGTTGATGTGGTTAGTAGGAGTACTGGAGTCGAGTAAGAAATAGGATTGATTATAAACTGATGTAAAAGGTTGCCATGACGATCCATAAACCGGTCGAGGTGTTGGATTGCTGAAAATAAACGTATAAACCAAATAAAAGTGCACCATCCCTCGGATTGTAAATTTCAGTTCCAGCAGTCCAAAATTTGGTATAACTAACCACAATTCAAAATGACAGTTTTGACATCAAATCTCACTCGTTATTTACTGCTAGGCAGTAGCTTGATGATGCATGTTTGAGATGCAATAAAAATACTAAACACAAATATAATATTCTTGCTTTAAGCGATCTTCAATGGCATCGGAAAAGATGACATATTTATAACCCACTCTAATTGGCTATAGCAAAAAATTCCATTTAATTTAAAATATTATAATACATAATATAATATTATAATCATAATTAGTAAAAATTCAATAATTACTGATATTTAGCGAAATTTGTCCACAAATTCATCATAGTTAAACTCATCATTAAATCTATATCAGATCCTTTATTAGGAAATGGATCACCAAAGACAAACGGCATTTCATAGCCATGTGGTGCTCCTGTAAAATAAAATGGACCTTTAACTGACATGAAAGAATAGTAATTTTCTTGATCCAAAAACTCGCCAAGAATTGGTTCGGCTTGAACGACAGCTGGATTATTCGCTAGTTAGGAAAATTACAAAGGTTTTATTTCGGTAGTGTCGAACACAAAGTATCAGAAATAGTGAAATTTCAAAATTATCGATAACATTTATATTTTGAATGACAGATCACACTTGCCCTTTAACAAAATGCGCATAAAAATTTCGACAGTCACAAATTCATTCTGAACTCAGGCTGTTTCGACAACAGCATTCTGATCACTGTCAAATATACCACTGTACTAGTACCTGCTTAAGCTGTAAAGCTGTAAAGCTGTAAATCTTAAAGGCAGTCAAGAATCATTGTGATTATGAAGACATAACACAATAGTTTCGAAGTGACAAATGCGGCAATGTAACAAACATACCTTCCCATTTAGGTAGAGTATCTTTAGTTACATAACTAAACACATATAAATAGTTTTTATTTTTACCACCGAGTTTAGCATCTAATTGGGTTTCTAGTACAATTGGTGCCGTGAAAATATTGTCACTTAGTAACTGAAAACATATATATTTAGATACATCAATTGGAGAGCTAGCAGAAAAAAACAATCATTTATAATGTGCACATTTAGTACCGCAGGTTTCAGAGATTTAATTGTCTGGGCTTCTTCTTGTCTACAATGAAAAAAAAAGAACATCAAGATTATAAAAAATCGAAAAGTGGACTAAGGTGAACCAAATTTTGATATTTAGACACTCCAAACAGTCCTCTCAAATAACATTTATGTCGTGTATAACTATCAATTCGGTATATATTCACCTGAAGGTAAGAATCTCGAACATTCTGTGGTGTTGATAAATTATAAGGTGTAGCATAAACCATTTTAATATCGTTCTCTATAGTTTTCCTATTTCTAATGTATCTTCTATCACAAAATTCTTTTATTTGACCCAAAAAATAACTGGCCTTTATACCATCATGTTTGCCTTGAATTTTAGCTGTAAATAAATCAGTTTCTAGTAGTAATAAAGAGTCAAGTCAAGTGCAGAGTGAAGACAGATGGAAATCTAGTAGAATAAATGATGCAAAAATACCCACACTGCACACTATTTGCAACTGCCTACCAGCAGCAGATAATCTAGACCAAAAATCCATTGTATTTCGATTTCAAATACTTACACTCCGAGTCAAGATGGCTGACGGGTGAAAGTTGTCTGCAGGTTGTCTGAAGTTTCTTCCAAATAACTTCAAATATATAAATGTGAAAACGTATTTAATAGGATGAGAGGATATATCTTAAGCAAGGAAAATATATAATTGAAAACTGCAGTGTAAAAAGGTGAATACTACAGCTTTTTAGACATTTGTATGTTTTAACACCCAAGACAGTAGATTGATACTAAATATAGATCAAGATCAAAGGGGTGACAAGCTGTCAGTGACAACATTTTACCTGACCTGCTCTATCCAAATAAACAATCAACATGTCAACTGAAAAGGGAGGCTCCAAAATACCAACAAAAATATCGACAAACAACCGCCCGCAAAAACGACAAAGAGAAGGCTCTAATAAATCAGAAAATGGAAACCTGGAAGCTGATGTTCAAAACTTACTTGAAACACATGCTCTACTATCAGAAAAACTGAACTCCATGATGACAAAAGATGACATGTCGGATATGATAGGAAAGATAACAGAAAGCGTACTTCATCAAATTCGAAAAGGAATCACCATAGAATTCCAGAAAATCGAAGACAAACTGGAAGACAAACTCGAGAAAATAGCTTCGCAAAATAATGTCCTTATTAAGGAAAATGAACAATTAAAGAAACAAGTGAGTGATTTAAACTTTAAACTTTATGATTGCAATGAAGGTGTAAAAGAATCATTGAGAATAAGCAATTACAACGAACAGTATTCACGAAAAACTAATCTGAAGTTTCTGAATATAAAGTGTGGTGAAAATATGTGTTTAGCGGATAAAATTATTGAAATTATCAAAGACGTTTCTAACAATGAATTTAAATTAAACAAATCTGACATTATAGCTATTCACCCCCTTCAATCAAAATATGCAAACAAACCAAAACCTATCATTCTAAAAGTCAAAAACACTGAGATTAAAGAGAATATTATGAAATATCGGAAATCGTT